GGTCAGTTTGTTCTTCACCTGCATTAGGCGACTGCAACAGGCTGCAACAGGGTTACATTGCCCTGTAGGGAGCAGTAATTACAGGCTGGACTCCCTGCAGTCAGACCCACCAGTAATGCCCTTCTTCGGTATAGTAGAACACTGGCTGATCTTCACTATGCCGCTGATTTTGCTTTAGTCAAAACTCACATGGATGATATTCCGCCAGACTAGGTGTGGTGCATGTGATTAAATATCTAACCAAAAGGCCGATGGAAAACTGATCAGCCAATAATCTATGCAGGGAAATACTGGATCTGATGCAGAGAGCTGAGCAGGGATTATTGGATAACCCCAGCTGATTACACTATGATGCAATAATACTGGTAATGGCCGGCTGAAGAGCAGAATCAGCCCTTCACTCTCCACTAATAACATAAAAATATTATAGTATACTTTTCTGTAAGAATAAGTGGATCTGGCTGTCCCTGGAGTGTTAGGCAAAAAGAGACAATTACCTATTCTCTAGTACAGCTGTGGCTCTTGTATTTAGCCTATGGAGAATAGACTGTCTATGAACTGACTGAAATAAGGAAATATCAAGTATATTATAAAGAATAGTATCTAACATAGTGTCTTTTCCCCAAAAGTATTGTGGATGGACTCCGCATATGTTTTAACTGATCCACAGGCTATCATCCAGGATGATGTAGTCTGACCATGTCTAGTAGATAACATAGTACATGAAAGCTTTCAAAGCTATTCAAGTGCGTGTGTTGATCCACACATTCGAGGGAGGTTATTGATTCGCTCTAGGAGCTTCATAACCTCATGACGAATAGCATCCAGCTCTTCATCCATATCCCCTTTTGATCTATCTAACCCTGTCTTTCCATGGCCCGGGTCAGAAGGATATGCGCCTCGTGAAAAGAGGCCCTGAATAGCATTCCAGGCTGTTTGGGCCCAGCCCCTCACAGTGTTATAGGCTTGGACTAATTTGTTCCAGATGCCCTTGACGAAATCGACGACTGCCTGCATAACATGCTTAAGAGTCTCTCCAATATTCTTGAAGAAGCCGAGGACAATATTGAAGCCAGTATTAAAACCATTAGCCGCTGCTGGTCGGCTGGCTGCAGGTAGCTGTTCAATGATCGCGATAGCTTGGTCTGCAGCATTATCAATTGCAGCACAAGCCTCGTCCTTCATCTTATCAGCATTATTCTTAATGGCTTGCAT